TATATATATATATATATATACACACACACACACACACACACACACACACACACACACCCATATACATATACATATAGTATATAATATAATATATAAACATTTTTTGGGGCACCACGAGAAACTTTTGCTTCAAAAAAGGCCCCACAGCTGAAAAAAAATTGAGAATCCCTATCATAGAATATCAACACTATCATTATATCTAGAATTGCTCCGAAACAGAATGCCTTCAAATTTAGAATGGCACTACATAAGCAAAATCCATCATAAAAAAAGTTTTTTTGGCAACAAAATGGGCCCCCATAGCCAAGAGGGTCCTGTGCTTGAGCATACCCAAGCACAGTAGTAAATCTGGTACTGCCTCCAGGGGCATCTAGACTGCTCATATTTGTCCTGCAGCAACAGAAGAAGAATGGAGTCCCAACCAACCAGTCAGGCCAAACCAACTGTTACCTGTGACATTTAATTTCACTGCAGCACCAGCAACTCCAGAGCTCCAGAGAGTTTTAATGACATTAAATATTATTCTCACATAAATATTCATATTTTAATAATCATCTGCCGTGAGGAAACACACAGAAAGTGTCATCCCATTTTCCCCAGGTCACAATGCACAAAGAAAACAGAATGGTGACACTGACCCATGTAAACAGCTAGGCTTGTCCAAATTAGAATCGATCTATGTGACAGCGCGTCAGGCCCCACTTGCATGTGAATGCACAGTTGAATTGATTGGTTACCTATAGCTATCAATCAATGTTATTTTAAACTGGTTGAATTGCTCCCCGCCTTCCTGGGGAAGAGGGCAGTGCTTTCTTTTCATTATACCATTAGACATCTCAGCAGATGGATGTGAGAAAGGCTTAGCTCCAAAAGCCCTCAGTTAAGTCATCTCTCATCTTAAGTTTGTACTATTAAGATTCATTCTTCATATCCAGCTCACTTGGACAACATTGTGGAATCTTAAGCGCCCTCAAACCAGTCCTCTGGCATCAAGAGGAAGACTTTGGCCTTCGATATAGGTCATTGGACTGGGGTTGTGAATGCTCAGGCTTTCACAGCCATTGAGAAAGAGGGAACTTGGAAAGCTTCTCAGCTGTAAAACTCCTTGGACCCTAGACTTCAGAGAGTGTAACGTATATTTCTTTACCCCCTTTTGAATATCAAGTTTATGCCCAAGGAAGATAACTCATTGTGAACAATAAAGCCTATCTCGAGTTATCTATAGTGTCTTGATCTTTGAGAGTTCCAGTTCTCTAAAGGAGGGCAAGAAGCTATCCCCTGGGGAAAGTTGTCATGTCCAGGTTTCTTTCACTAAGATCTATAGCCCCCAGGCACGGCGGCAAAGTCTAGCTGTTCACACTGCCCCAAAATAGGAAGCACCTTCAGTGTTGCAGGGCAGTTCTAGGGCATTCCCAACATTTCCTAAAGCGGGGCCAAACTGTGTTAACTGGTTTTACTTCACATTGGGGGCTGGAAGGCACTAGATGTCTAGTGGATGCCCACATCAGGGTCGTAGCATATAAACAGGTCTCAGACAAATGTAGGTTAAGTAAACTGTTATATAACTTAAATAGGTGCTACATGGGATGGCCAAAATTTGGGCATTGAGAATTCTGCACCCATGGAATAAAATTACCCCTTTTCTAACATAGAACCAACATTAGAAATACAGTTTATACTTCAAAAAAGGATCAGCAGGATTACCAATGGAATGCAAATATGGCAAATAGAAGGTGTGTACGATTTTCAGAGTTTTGCTTTCTGCAATGCAAGGAATTTAGGGACTGAAGGAAAATTTCAGTAGGGACTGGAGTTCTTATTTGTGGGTCAATGGACATATTCTACACACACACACACACATATACATATACACCCCTGTCCCTGCTATTTAGGGCTAGGTTTGAGACCAAAACATTTATACCAGTGAATGAAGCAAGAATAAATGTATGCCTGGGTGCTCCAGGAAATCTTTCATATGTATAACTTGACCCATTTTCAGTCTCACTTCTATGGCTGTCACTACAAATTAATCTTCCCCTAACCTCAGGCTACTTTAAGTATATGAATGGGAAACMTTCATAGTAGAACATTCTGTATATGCCTCGGATTACTAAATGATAGGCTAGATTTTTGTTTCTTTRTTTATTTYTGAGGRAAACATTATTAGAATTCCRCATGCCCCACAATAATGTACGYTACGTATATWTGTTTCTGGCATGTGTCTTGGATGGYCAGCTGAGAAGGAACTAGACAGRATTCTGAAGGATAATTGAATATTAAAGTTAGAATTGTCCATATCATCATATTTCCAACTTCTATGTTTCRTTATTTCTATGCCATCATATTTCCAATCTCTATCTATGGCCATGATAGCCAGACAGTGAAAAAAATCTTATAAAKAGAATATAAACTCATTTGAAATGTGGTACTGGAGAAGAGTRCTAAGGATTSTCAGGACTGTTAAAGACAAATAAATGAATCCTAGGGCATATTATCTCTGATTTTTTCCAAGAAACCAAGATGACTAAGCCGAGGCTTTGGAAAAATCATGGGGTGACACGACTCACTGGAAAATATTGTAATGTTTTATAAAGTAGAGGTAAACTGAGAAGTCCATTCTAGATGGATAGGCTCAATCAAGGAAGGAACAGTACAACCATGAGTCTACAAGAAATGAGCAAGAATTTTGATAATATGGTGACTTGATAGTCTCTCATTCATAGGTTCATAGCACAAAAAGGAACATTTTGAATTCTTAACCCAAGCACTCCGGCTCGGTTTACCCCTCCGAACGTATTCTCCCCTACGAACCATCAAGATTACTAAGACTGTCTGGAGGGGCCCTGTTCTCGGTCCCGCCAGCCTCACAAGCGCGGCTGGTGGGGACGAGGGACAGGGCCTTCTCGGTAGTGGCCCCACGACTCTGGAACTCTCTCCCGCCAGAGGTTAGAACCGCCCCAACAATCCTGACATTCAGGAAACAGGTGAAGTTGTGGTTATGGAGACAGGCTGTCGAAGAATGAGACAATGATCTGGAAGGAAGACGGTGTATATTCGATTTTAGTATGACGACTGACCACTGTAGTTTTAAATATATGTGCTTTTTTAATGTTTATTGTAATGTGTATTTTGATATTTTACCGATTGTATGTGTTTTTATGGTTGGAGACCGGGCTGAGTCCCTCTTATGAGGTGAGAAGCTCGGTATATAAAACTTTGAAATAAATAAATAAATAAATATTCCACCAGACTACAACACCAGTATTCCATAGGATGTTCCATGCTGATTAAAATGGACTAGGTAACTATAATTGTGTAGTCTGTATGGGCCTCTGCTTAGCACTTAATGAGATCCTAATTTGTATTTACAATCTTGTAACCAAATGTATCTTTTCAGCCAGTTGGTGCAACCAAAGGATTCCCAAGACACAGCAGAGCAACACACGGAAAATGTTATTTACAGAACTCTATCGATCAAAAGATGCATTGAGAAAAGCCTTTGCAGAAGGTCAAGAGGTCTTTCCAGCTACCTTCTCTCAATGCACTCCCTGATCAGCAGAGCACTACAGATGCCGTTTTCCAATGCCCTGCAGCACCTGAGAAACCATTTGGTTAGGTAGACTTGGGGGGACACATTCAGTTGTCACAATGGTTATATCTGATGGTGCCGGATCTCAACTATTGTTAATCACAATTGGTTGTCATCGTCATCATTGTCACAATCACCTTGATGCTCATCCAGACCTACAACTAGTGCCAATTCAATCAACTGCATTTTGTGACACTTTGGGCAACTATTTCCCATTCCCACGTCCACGTGCCTTTAAAAATGCATAATCCACTCTTCCTTATTAATGATTTTGCGGAATTCGATCATATAATGGCCTTATAATATGGCTGCCAAAAAAGGCTCACTTCGCTTCACTTTGCTGTGGGGTATAGGGAAGCCACCACCCCTCGCCTTGCATAATCTAGCTCTTGCAGCTGTTGATCCCATGGAGAGAAGCATAGTGCACATGTGGAGCACATGGCTTCCCCCATTAAATCAACCTCCTGTGTTGCCACCATGGTAGCGGTGCACCAGTTCCACCCTCCTTCACCCACAAAGCACAACCCCAGCCAGTTCCATGTGTGACTGGGGCTAGATCGACACATGCCACCGATTTTAGCCTTGTGTCACAAGGTCATTTGATGGTCTTAAAGTGCCTTTTTCCCACCATTGCTCTCCCCTCCCCTATCTACAATAGTTTTGCAAAATAAATGAGAGAAATGGTTGGTGTCTTCTATCTCCCTTTCCCTTCCACTTGTGTGGGCATGTGTACGTGGGTGTATACAGGCAGGCACACAAAAGCACTACAGGTTGAACATAAAAGATGCAGAAGTGGGAGTCAGGGAACAAAAAAGGACAAGAGTACAAAACTAGAAGGCATTTTTTGAAGAAAAATAAAGCACTCTGCTGGCAGAAACAAAAAGACAGATAAAAAAAGGAGGGAACATGAAATAATCAGGAATTAACCAAGCATTTTCTGGTTTCCAGAAAAAGAAGTGGCAATTACAAGAGTGCAAATTATAAACTTATGATCTATACAACTAACCTGGATGGGCACTTTATCTTTATTTATACCCCATCTTTATATTTCACTTTTCCCCCTGAACCAGGATTCAAGATAGCTTCTAAATTAAAAGTATGCTCGTAGTCTTCAACTAGACTATTTGCATAATAGTACGTTTTTATTTATACATACAATTTTGACTATATAGTGTAAGATACTTGGCTAGATCTGAATATAGCTGCTATGTGCTGACATGTGGGTTTTATTCTCTTTCATCATTGATGTTGCATTTAAGAGGAGTGCCATAAACGCTGAAAAAAAATTATGAAGTGACTTGTGAAGTTCATAAATGTGCTCTTCCATATAAATACTCTCTTTATTGCTCACACTTATAGCTTTATGTTTCGATTATAGGAGTGTCACAGAGACATATGCTGTAATACTTACCCCCAGATACTGGCCTTCAATAAACACAACTGGTAGCGATGGGGTTTCGCAAACTCTTTTGCATCTCTCATCCAACTCCTTTCCATATTCACTGTTCAGTGCAATGTTTTTCTCTTCAAATTTCACTCTGTGGTTTTGGAAAATCTTTCGAACCAACTCGCATCTTTCAAAAGTTGTTCTGACCACACGAAGACTTGTTGTGTAAATTATTATGCGGCCATATTCTAGAACCGTAGATACCTGCATTAAAAAAGGAAAACATTACTTTTCATATTTTTAATTACCCTTCTTGGTTAGAAAAAAAAATAACAAAACACAGCACAGCACCTTTAAAGATAGTAAATAATAATACATTATTTATTTTCATAGCAGTAGCTTTAAATCGGTTTGAGAAACAAGATAAGCAGTCAGCATCAAATTCTATTATGTTTGCAAAAGCAATTGCAATTGCACAAGACGGACATATCCTTCTTAGGAGTATAAATGAAATATTGTTCAGTCTCATTCCAAGTTCTCTTGCAAGGCTGCTTAGGATATGGAGCACGATCTCTGCATCATGCAATGTTTCATCAGAGTATTTCTTTCCATTTGGAAAATCTACACATGTATATTTTCCATTTAGAAAATATACATTTCAGAAACAACTCTCCTCCAGTACTGCTACTCAAATTACATTGCTAAAATGTTTTGTCATCCAAGCTGATACAGTCTGAGATAGATGACCCATATGCTTCCCTGACATTTCAAAAAAAAAAATGCCAAGGCAAACTTCTTGAAATCTAAGGCATGTCCCCCAGGCTCCCTTTTATTTAAAAAAAGGTAAAGATAAACCTTCTGAAATTTAAAGGAATTACATAGTTGGGAGATGTGCCACATATCTTCCTGATATTTCGTATATGCTTCTTTAATTAAATTCTGTTTTTCAGGCATCCCTTTAAAATATTGTTCACATGAATAATCTCATATAATTGCAGACTCTCCATGGATCTCTAGATCCAGCCTTTGATGACACATTGGGTTCTTTTACTGTTGGTTGCACTTGGAGTCTTCACCTGACCGCACCGGTTTCAGGACCTTTAAAATTTTTTTATCACTCTTCATATAAATGTTTGTCTGTTATAACTTCCAATGTTGTAAGTGAAGAATTGCATCATTTGTTTTATAAAGGACATTATTACCCTGCAGACAGACAACATGATGCTGTGATTGAGATGTTGGGTGAGGACACTGGGAAACCAAAATTAGAATCCCCACTTGATCACAAAAATATATTGGGGGCACATCTATGCTAACAACTTAGAGAGAAGGGCACCTGAATTACCTCTATGGTCGCCAGACTATTCATGGAGCTGATCCAGTTAAACATAGGACAAAGATACTTAATGCAACCTTTACTCACATTAACCTAATAATAATAATAATAATAATAATAATAATAATAATAATAATAATAATTTATTTATATCCCACCATTCTCACCCCGAAGAGGACTCATACACGGCAAACATTCAATGCCGCTTTACATAGACAATACACAGACAGACAAAACAGAAGGAGGTGGTTTGTTTCGACTCAGTGTCCAGCTGTTTTTGGTGCCATGGAAGGTTGGGTTCGAGTCCAGGGGGTGCTGTTGCTCTATCCTCTATGACGAAGAGCCGTCAGGACTTCCTCTTTCCTTTTAGTTGCCCAGCATTTTCTGATCTTTTTTCTTGATGATGTCGTAAAACACCTCCCCTGCTTTTAATGGTACCTAATTTCTCTAATAACAACTAAAACTGTTTTCGAATTGTTTAGGTAAACAATGAGCTAGGTGACAGTTGGTGGCTCATGCCAACCCAGGGCTTCGAACTTGCAACCTTTTGGTTGATAGATCTTATCATTACTGATGATTTACCAGCTGTGCTAAACCTCCAGCCCGAACTCACAGATTGTTCCAAATTTTGGCCCAAATCATGCTTGCTAAGTGTCGCGGGGGGGGGGGGTCTGTTTAAACAATGCTGAGGTAAATCCGGCATACACCACCCAGATCGCCCTGGATAAGGGGTCAGTGTAGATCAGCACTGGGTGACTTCAGGCAGACCACACTCCCTAATTCTTCTCTGACAAATTCTGCCAAGAAAACTCAATGTCACTTTAAGATCATCATATGTCAGAAATGTCATTATTTAATATCAGCCTAACATAAAACATCCTTATTTTAATAATCATAGATATGTTTGAGGTGGTTTGGACAAAAATCAGAAGAATCAACAGTTAACATTATGTTGGGTTCTGGCCCAACATATCTATCCGAACGTATCTCGGCCTATCAGCCCACCAGGACCCTAAGATCTTCGGGGGAGGCCCTGCTCTCTATCCCACCTGCTTCACAGGTGCGGCTGGTGGGAACGAGAGACAGAGCCTTTTCTGTGGTGGCCCCTCGGCTTTGGAATGCCCTCCCCATAGAGATAAGATCAGCCTCCTCGCTGATGGTATTTCGAAAAAGACTGAAGACATGGATGTTTGAACAAGCATTCGGCTAATCCGGTGCGATGACGTTGATGATCTAGGACTGGTAATCATAGACGATGAAATTGGATCATGATTTTAATTAAGAGATGCATTGGTCTGTATTGGTGGCCCGATACTGTGTATTGTATATGTGTATTGTGTTTTTAAATTGAATATTGTTGTTTTTAAGTGTTGTAAACCGCAATGAGTCGCCGTTTTAGGCTGAGATATTAGCGGTATACAAGCGCATTAATAAATAATAAATAAATAAACATAAGGAACAGCATACTGTGATCAAATCGTGTGCTTCTTACAGCTATGCGCATTATGCATTTTTAGCATTTCTCTTTTTTGTTTATTGAACTTATGCCCTCCAAATAGGACGTTTAGCCTCACAACTTTGTGTGTTTTATGAGTTCCATATAAATGTCCTGCTCCTATTTTATCTCATTATAGTTTGTTAACTGTTTTTATCCGGAATATGTGACCTGCCCATTGTAATCACTACTGTGATTATGTTTATTGGAATGTTTATTTTATTTTATTTTATTTTTAATGTCATTTTGATAATGTTGTTGTTTGTTTGTTTTTATATGCTTTGATTTTATTGCTTTATTGATTTTATTGCTGTATTGTGTTGTCCGGGCTTGGCCCCATGTAAGCCGCTCCGAGTCCCCATTTGGGAGATGGTGACAGGGTAGAAATAAAGTTTATTATATTATATTATTATATGTTTTATGTAATGATATTCCATTGAATCAGAGTATGAAGGGTTGGAAAATAATAATAATAATAATAATAATAATAATAATAATAATACACCCCCATTGGCACCAGCAGCCTCTAATGCCACTAGAATGCCACTAAGATCAGGTTTGAGGGTCTCTTGCCAATATGCCCCCAATGATACTGTGATATGACACAGCCTTGTCCTCTGACAGACATATCAGGATATGGCAGTCAATGGGTTGGCAGTGGCACAATTGTTCCTAGTTCTGGTGCCCAGCCCACCTTCTCAAGAAAAGGATGAAATGCAGGTAAAGCTTGGCAGTGGCTAAAGTGGGTAAATTTCTGAGTACATTTGCTACCTTCTGAGGTCTGCACCCCTGCCAAAAAAAGACCTTATGTTTCTGACAGGCAGCCCAAACACTACTGTTTTCTCCTGGCATTCGGTGTTGTTTTAACTGCTTCAAAATTGGATTCTAGGAATGTTTCCAGATTTTTTGGGGAGTTTTTAAAGAATATCTTCATGTTAAATTATTATTATTATTATTATTATTATTATTATTATTATTATTATTATTTGGTTTTTATCTGTGGGCTGAAAGGTAATGCAAAAATACTTTAAATAAACAAAATCATGCTATTTTAAATTT